CCTCACCGGCCGGGATGGTTCGAGGCGCTTCATCCTTCCGCAAGGCAAAACCACGCAAGGTTGAAATATAAAGCTTTATACACTCGACTGTAATCCCAAATGACTCCCACGCCACGTGGACTGATCCTGCAGTAACGTTCACACCTAACTGCATTTTATGGTTTACTGTGCAAATACTAATTCCAAATACACCTCTGCAGAAGGCAGGCACGCGTTTGAAAGGTGCATGAAAAACGCCTAATTGCTAAATGGTCCTAGAAATAAGGATACTATAGGCAAGGCAATACGGCATCCAACAAAAGATACTACCTCTCCTTATAAACTTTGTATTGCTCGTAACCGCGGACTATTGTAGTTACCACTTAACATAACAAAAGCTGCAGTAGCATTATTAACTTAACTTTCTGAATCAACTGGATCATTCGGAAGTGTCCCCAAGCAGGCTTCCTAAAGCCTTAGAGCAATCTAATTACCCAGAAGGATTTAGTGTTAGAATTTAAACACCATACACAGAAAAATAAAAGGGTGTCTCTATACCAGAACATAGTATGCCTGTATTTTTATGGATCTCATTTTTTAAAAGAGAAGAAATCTGCAAGTGTAAATGTGATGCATAATTCATTTTTGTGTAAGCCTCCCTAATTTAATGACTACCCTCTCACTGTTTAACACAGAGAAGAAATTGTAATACTGCGACATTTTTCTGACACAAAAACCACTGCAAGAGTATTTTCCAGCATAAAAATAAAAAAACATCCCACAGGTATTTTTTTTAAATGAAACATAAGGCAATAAAGCAAATTTTCCAAGAGAGTAATACTTTGTTGCAGTCAAGTTTCTGCTCTGAAAAAAATAAGCGACAGTATGACAACAATGTGTGAATTAAGAATAGTTTGGAAAGAGTTCCTTATATCCAAACAATCCTGGATTAAGTCAAAAAAATTGTAGAAGACAAATTTCTGGTAATAAATCATGTGGAAGGAAAAAAAATTAGAATAAATATAAAAAATTGTAGGAATGTAATATTTTAAAGACATTAGCACACTAATTAGCTTCAGAAGGAAAACTTTGATTCTGACCCTTTCCTGTAACCCAAGCACCCGGATTTGGAGCATGACCATAGAAATGGCAGCAAACAGGTGAAAAACGTGTTCACAGTGTAGAGCAGCTGTGTAGCATTTTTAACTAAAGAGTAGCTCGGTCCTGACAGGTCTTGCTCAGAAAAATGTGTAAATCAATGCTTGAAACACCGAGCTATTATCTGCCATTCCCACAGATGTTCCTTCAAGTGACTATCAAGATTTGGGAATAGATTCCATTTTTTGAGCAAAATCAAGACTCCTACAAATCTCGGTGCACTTGACAACAAAGTACCTGCTCTTCTCAGAAAAAAAATACTTGATTGTTGATCTCAGATGTTCCATTGTTCAGCCTGTCCACTTTTGCTGTACCTTGTGTTTATCATCCCTTGAGGGAACCTTGAATCCACTCTTTAGAATCATAGAATCATTAAGGTTGGAAAAGACCTCTACGATCATCAAGTCCAAAATTTAGTCAAATTATCTCAAAAAGAGCTGAGTAAGACAGCTTAACTGCCGAGTTTTTTCAGAACGAGAGAACCAGAAGAGACAGCAGAGCGGAGCCACAGCCCCGCAAGGCCCCCGGCCTTGCAACAGACTGCCGGAACGACCACCTCCCACCCGCCGGGAGAAGATTTATTAAACAACCGCTTCCTTCCACAAACAGCACCTTTTGGCAGACTGTTTTTACACAGTCCATCAGCAGCAATGTGCTTGGTGATTTCAAAGTCCCAGGTTTTGAACGTTAGGCAAATACTGGGTATTACAGAAAATAAATATTTTTTTTTTTCTTTTAACAGAAAGTAAAATATTTTCCCTACTATGCTATCTTCTAAGAATTTCAAAATGCATTTCCAGCCTCCAGACCGAACACCTCTATGGGTGAGGAAGACAGGGCCTGCATCTTGCAGAAAAGGAAACACAAACCTCAGCAGCAGTTTGTCCATCTTACACCAGCCGTCAGTGACAAGGCACACGCACCAACGGAGGACCCGAGTAACGCAGAGCCCACGTTAGCCCGAGCAGTTCCCTGTGCTCTGGAGGGGTGGCTGTCGTACTGTTGAGCTGTGCTGATTCGAAATGTTACCCTGAAAAGCTACTCTCACATCACGGCCACGATGTACTCAAATTTGGGAGCTCCCTATTCAAGAAGTAGTTGTGAATGCCAAAATTTTAGGTGGATTAACAAAAATGATTACACAAACGTATGTGTAATCTGCACAGCTGTTATTATGTATTTTGCAGAGACATCTGGATTCCCAGTTAAATGACTAATCGTACTACGATGAACTTCCCAGTTCCATTTCGTTCCGGGCAGCACATAAATCCTGTCATTGGGGAAGGCACGCGCCATTCAAACCTAACAGCTTATATTCAGGAATGAAATGAATTATCTTATTCTACCATTTTCAAACCTACTTAATTCTGCATATTCAAAACGCTCCAGTATCTCTTGCACCAGCAGGTGTATCCAACCTGAATGGGTAGCATTTTGCACAAAATCTCTCTTTTCAAACTCTCTTTCAAATTTCTGAGAATCTAAAGAAGTTACACTCTAACGAGCTGATAATTCTTAACAGAAAAACCCAAATGGTTTGTCTTGCTTTTCTGTTGCTAAATGACTAGCTGTGCGCTCCATTAGCAGCCTCGTGAACAATTTTCTTTTTGAATCGCTAGACATGAAAATTCACATTCAGTACTGGAGCAACAGAATCACAGATTGAAGTTAATAGGACAATTATTACTAATTTGCCTAGATTTCTTGTCTAGTCCCCACTACAGAACTTCACCCCGCTGGCTCTCAAGACTCCTGACACTTCTGGACAAGCCACAACTTATCTTTGGTGAAAACAGTTAACTTCATTAAAAAGTCTAACCGATAAATCCCAATCGTTAATTTGGCAGATAAAAGAACAAAGAAATACTTTCCAGTCCTTTGTCTATCTTTATGTTCCAGCCAAATGTGAATGCAATTCTGTGTTAAAGGAAGTGCACTGACTTTTAACTTCAGCGCACGCTTGCGTTTCTCCAGAGAAAGGCTGAGCCGGGGGGAGTTTCCAATGAAAGGCACAAGAAGAAATATCTCGTCCTTCCTTTGGAGCTTTGCAACGAGGAAAAAGTTAAACCTTTCGGTAACACCTTGATGAGTAGCTTCCCTAATTTCCAGTTTAGGATTTGCCTGACCAGGATATTTCTAACAGCAGGAAAATGATCTGATGGGTAGCAAGAAAAGTTCAAAAGCTAATCTTCTAGGGCCAAAACTGCAATCAGCTTTCCCGTTCTGTCAGTCTGCACAAGAGAGCACCTCCCATGCCTACCGCGAGGCTGAGAAGTACCACGCGTTGTCTGCTTCACAATGCATTCACGTGACAATAAAAGGGCACTGTTTAGCAGTTATAGCTCTGTACTTCTATCTAAGCCCTGAAAAACACATCTCCGTTATTTAAAGCCAAGTTTGCGGAAGACAAGGGCCGCCACAGCACGGGCAGCTCTCCTGCCGCTGCGCCTACACGCAATGCGGTGCAAAGCCCCAGACTATCTGCGGGCAGAAGACAGCCCCATCGGACTGATGGGTTCCCTGAACAACAGAAGACAGCCAGGGTGCTGCGCGAGCACTTACAGGACAAAACGATGCTACATGCATCACAAGTGAGATTTTTTTACAAAGAAATCAGTATTTACTAACCCACCTGGGTAATGCAGAACCAAAACCAGGATTTACCTAGTCTCTGCAAGATACAGATCTTGTCTCAGAGTACAGCACAGTATTTGCTCTCTGCCATCTTGTAAGCCAAAGCAGTAATCCTCCTGCACTGCAGATATGATGCTATTTGCACACCCGTTGTACAAGCCTAGAGCAAAATCACACGCAATTCTTTCTCGTGCTTTAACTGGGCTGGGAAAAGAGTATGAGTTTACACTGAGCTGCAAACGGAATATTTAATTCATACACCACAACAGTCATGAGGAAAAATTAACCTTTTTACCAGCATCACCTGTAACCATGGTGATACGAGCTGATTTCAAGTTTTGTTTAATGAGGCCAGTGTACTCAGCAGGCTCTGGCACTTCAAAGCCTGCTCTGAAGCTGTCTGAGCACAACATGCTGCAGCCACTGCCGAACTTCTCTTCTGCAGGTCGCAAGACATGGTCTGGTGAGACCAACGCCAGTTGGGTTGCTTTTTTATGCACATTAGTGATACTTCTAACTTTAAAGAGACTTGTATGCTAGATGGGCAGATTTACTTGGTACTCCTTGACAGGTACTCAGCTAAAGTACATTAAAAAAAAAAGGAAAAATTGGATAAGGTTATTATCAGAGTTACAGGAAAAGGAGGACGAACATGTAACTGAAGCTTTTTTCCTGAAATAGCATCTTATATTCTGCAAAAGTACTATGTATCTGTAGCAGAAAAGGAAAATTTTTTACAAGACAGAATAATGTTTTTGAAAAGTTTCAAACATACATACTTGAAAAAGGAATGTTTAAAAAATCAGAAGGGGGCGGGGAGAGAGAGACAGGATGAATTACCTAAGAAATGGGAACCTCCTCAAGCCTCTTTAGCTGAGATGCTCATTTCTGTAAGTACCCAAACTGAAAAGCAAGCTTGCTTTTCCATTCTTATTCCAGACACATTGCTAGCATCAGGGGGAAGGCTCCAGGGGGGTTTAACTTTTGCATGTCACACAACTGAATTGATGGAATATGTATTACCTATAAAAGCTGTTATATTATATGTATGAAAAAAACAAAACAAAACAAAACAAAAAACACCAAAAAACCCACAACCACCAAAGAATAACAAAACGATGATACTTACTCCTGTACTGACAAGAGACAGCATAATTCTTTCATTTAAGGCTAATGTTTCTCCTTGCTTCATCTTGATTCTCTTCTTATCTAAACATTTCATTGCATACCTGAAAATATTAACTGTTTAGAAAAAGCACCAGAAAAAATTTCCTCCTATACTATTATTCACTAGCAGTTATGCCATGCGTATTTACAGTATCCTGTAAGCAAACTCTTTAAAGACTTAAATCTGGTACTAAAAACATCATTATATGACTAAACAAGAAAATCTCCAAAATCTCACAGAATTAAGCAATTTCAACAGAAGCCTCCTAACAGAGAAATGTGCTTTAACAAATAATTCTGTGTCCAAACAACCATAGTGATACAGGAATTACATATCATACATCCATTTTTCAGTATCTACAAGCAAGAATTTTCAGTATGAATTAAATAACAGAGACCCTATTACGGTTCCATTTAATTCTAACAGTTTCAACCTTACCAGGAAAGTAATATCTTGAACACACGCTGAGTTTTTTGTTTGTTTGTTTGTTTTAAGTTTTCTTTCTACTCAAAGAAAAATCAGATACACACAAGAAAGCTTTTTTAATCTTCTATCATCTGTATTACACAAATTAATAGAATTTTGCTCAAAAAAGAACGTTACCCTAACAACCATCAAACAAGAGTAGCATATAATACAGTCTGTGGATATTCTTTCAAGACGTTAGGTGAGCCTACTATTAGAGAACAGCCGAGAAGGACACGTGTGTTCCTCCACACAAGATTTCTAGACGTGGGCAGCCATGGATTTTTAGGCCATTCGTTTTAAAATACGCTCAGGAAAACACCATGTTACAGCACTGCATCAATGCTAATCAACTGCCTACGCTGTGACAGCTCTGTACAGAAACAGGGCCTCGTATCACCCTCGCTTTGCGCTCCCTAAAAAAGCCACGTCATTCCTTGCCATGCATGTGTTTGAGTGGGGGAAGAGCGAGCGTGAACACACTGGAATTTTAAGTTTCCAAAACAAGGAATATATTCACAGCACGTGCTCTTGCTGAGAAGTCTGTAAACGATGACTATAAATAACATTTCACACGCTACCCTTTATTTATGCTTTGACATGACTGATCAAAGCGAATGACTGGGGCCGCTTAAGGCTGATCGACATCAAGTATCTCACTCTTCTACTGAGTTACGTGCTCAAAAAGCACTGCTATCCCTCCCCCTTCGGACTGCTTTCTGCCTTGTACTTCTGGCCCCTATTTAGATGTCCTTGAAGGAGGTGATGTGAAAGAAGCCTCAGGTGTATCTTTGTGGGTTAGTGAAACACCGATGGCATTTACCTTGGAGGGGTGGCTTCCCAAGCTCCTTGCAGGCAGTAAGTGCAGCAGAGGCAGCCATCTAGAGTGGACGGGATCTGGATTAGGGATGGGTAAACAGGTTTGGATTAAGAAAGAACTAAACCAAACCTCTACCCAGAAACTGAGCCTAATCTAAAGTTTGGCTTCAAATCTGGAAAAGGTTGGTTTTCCCACATTTCACTTCCCTTTACTCTATTTATACCTGATAAAAACTGTCCTTTGCCTCCCTTGCTAGTCCCAAGGTTTATCCACCTCCTGCCAGAGCAAAACTCAGACATGAAAATGTCTGGGAATCTGAGAACTACCTCTTCAGGGCGGACACCTGCTTAGCGTGGCTCAAGCTAAATAAAATGTTTATTTTTGTACACGGACAAATTAATGAATTGTACATGGACAAAAAAAGTACCAAAGCAAGAATAAAGACAGTATTGTTAGTAACAGTATTAATATAAACACTTGAGGTCACTGCAAAAATACCGAGCATGATAACAACATTAAGATGTCTTCCACTTGTTAATAGCTCAAAAGTTTATTATTATCGAGGATGCCAAGCACACACAATTGCCAGTGAAGCCAGCTGTAATCGCAGAGACTTGGCACTTCAAACACGCCATGCTTACTTAGAAGAGAAATGTGTAAGGACGGTCCCTGGACTAAAACTGTTAGGAGAAAAGCAAGATGAAAGCGGGGGGGAAGTGTAAATAAGGTGGAGTGTAAATAAATAAATAGATAGGTATTGAGAACGATTTTTTAAATCAATGCCCAGATGTTCAAAACAGGACATAATGGGACAGTTATGCCTAGAGATTGAAATCTGTTGATTAGGAGAAGTGTGTGAATGGTAAGTCCAGAAAAAGAAAAAAACACACAGATTGATCTTGGAGTTCCCACTGAGAGCTCTGTTAAACAGAATTTCAACACGGGAACTATATTCTTCCAAACGTAAGCAAGGATCACTGCTTTCGCCAGTGAAACGTGCTCATCAGGGCAGAAACGTATGCAACTACACAAATCTGGAGTACCATATTCAGGTACGACCCTACAGATTGAACACACTGAGGCCATATTCCCATGTCATCCTCCAACCCTACGTCAGCACCAGCTACGTGATGCAGTTTGTTGCGAGAAGAGCAACCTTCAGCAGATGAGAGGTAACGTCTCACCAGGCTTCCACAAGAACATCGTTCTGCACCGTCAGGCTCTGATCCAGGAAATCGTTTAAGCACATACTTAATTTTAAACACATGTGCAGTCTCCATTAATTTTGACAAGACCGTTTAAATGAAGGATGTGCTTAAGAGCTCTGCTAGACTGAAGCCCCACTGCATGGCACATAACAGGATCAAATATCAAACTAAGCTTAAAGATGATCCAGAAATCAGAACCTCTTGGGATGAAATTTAATTACAAAGAACTATACAGTAATGCGACACTGCTTTTCAGTGATTTTGTAAGAGATGACTGGAAGGATTTCCTTACTAGTTCAGAGTTTACAGTTACCTCTAAAATAAAGTGTGTATATACTCACATTTTTCCAGTGTCTGCTTTTCTGCAACCATACACTTCACCAAATCCCCCTCTTCCTATTATTCTATGTACACTAAAATCATTCATGGTCAGCTGTGAATGCAAAAAACAAAACAAAACAAAACCAGACTTCATTTTTCAGTACTAAAAAACTTACTGTAAAAACATCTAAATAATCCATTAATGCGTTAATATACTTAACTACTGTAATTCATATAGCATTTATTGTTTTGGAAAAGGAGCCCCTTACGGTTTATATTTCAACATACTTGCAAGCACTACAGTCCGAAGTACAAACAGGACGAATGAGACTGTCGCTGCCGAAGACTGGCAGTCTCATTCATAACAGGCCCTGCAGAAGAGGAGGGCCGTTTTTACAGGCAAAGTTGTAAAAGAGCAGTGCAGAGGGACAAAAGCGGAGGCCGAGGTAAGGGGTGCTGGGGACAACGTCAGAACCGTAGTGGGAAAAAGGAGACAGACGGTGTCCGGGGCTGCTAAAGAGCAGCAATTCTGGCAGCGCGGTTTCTTTTCAGCTATTATAAAAATCAAAAAGCTATTAACTCGAGGCAGACAGAAGGGACGTCCAGAAAGGAATCGTTAGAACTGTACGTCTAAGAATAGAAGAGCAGATCAGTAACATTCACCGTGCTCCTTAATAAGGCCTTTTCAGAAGCAGTATTCAAAACTGAACATTTTCTTTCCTGTATCAGCCTTTGACAAGATAAATATACTTGTAAGTACTTACATGAATATTTAGTTCTACGTTTTTCCATTGACAAAATCTAGTAAACTTGTCACTGTAGAAAAAAAGTTTAAAAGTTGTCTGAGACTATTCTGTAAAGTATTACAGAAAACATCAAGACTCTGATATTTAAAACAAAGTTTGCTCTAGGGCATGTTGCGATATTTAGTAAATGATAGCCTTCCTTTCAAACAATTGTAACCTTACCCCCACCAAGAAAAACAATTACTAGGCAGTGCACACTTCATATTTTACATCCTTATCAGAGAAAGGTTTCAGATAACCTTATCCCTGTAATTGTAAGTGCTCAGTATGTCCTCACATCTCTCTTTCAGATGGTTTTTAATTTTTAAAATCAACTAAGTTTGGAACTAACAAACATTTAAATTACATAAAGAGAAAGATAATTATAAGAAAACAGAGGCAGCTCGATTTATGTTAATGAACCTCTGTATACCCCAAGGAACATTTTAAACTCATTTTATCTTAAAATAGGAAAAACATCAATAATACCACAAGCTGTTGCCAAAAAAATAGTTTCTCATTTCTACATAAATAATTAAGTATTTATTTTCAGAGTAAGAAATAATAGTTCTATGGAGGCAATTTTACATTTAATAATAATTTTTACAATTATTTCAGTTTGACTGCAGAATACCACCTTTATATACCATTTTATACCGTATATTTGGCTCTCGCTGGATGAGAGCCATACTTCACAGACCGTGCACACAAGAGCAGTTCCGTTAAGGTTAAGAGGGCTGCTCAGCTGAACCAGGTCTACGCCTTGTATTCTTTACTAGACCTTTTCTGCTTAATTGCAAGGTGTCCAGACACAAACCAGAATGACTGGGTCTTTCAGTCACACGCCAGAGATGGTTACTCACAAGAACATCCCACAACAACACAGTTCTGCATTTTTAAACCTTTAAGATCAAACTGCAAACTATTATTACTGCTACACGGAGCAACAGAAAAATCTATCATCTTTACAATTTTTCCACGCATACATCCTGACATTAATCACGATATACAACAAAGCTAGACATTTGCAGAAGCTTGCTGATGATAGACTATTCATTAAATGGAAGTTTATTAAACTTTTTTAGCCTTATTTTACAGCAATACTTAAGGGACCTGGCTTCCTGCTACATTAGGTAGAAAGTCCGGATAGTATGTCATGCTCATACCTTTCCATAAATTTTTGAAATATTTTTCCTCGGAGACTATCACAAATTTCTTCTATATATGGCTAAAAAGGGTTAAGAAACACAGTTAGTATTTAAGCATACAATAAACTGATGATGCAATACTACCCATTACATATAACTCACATTGGCCCTACAGAACTACAGCATTTACTGTGTTTTCCTTGAAGAAGGCTCAATGAAACATTTAAGCTTCATTTAGCTTTTGGCATCTGAGCAGGTGCCCTGAAGTCAAACATAAAATATTTTCATGAGCTAGAAAACCTTAAATGTTTGCCTTGGGGGGGCTGTATGCAGCCTGTGTAAAGCACCTGTCTGTGGACAAGAAGTTTGGCGAAACAATCACAGCACAGTTCTTTTTTCAATTATATTTAAACACAATAGATGGTCACTCCTGTGGAGCATGACTTCCCAGCGCTGCTGCCACGTTTCAGCTTTTTGGTGCTTCTCTCCTCTCTGTCCTTACTAAGAAACCAGCACCTTCAATTCACAAGTGACTTTTTCTAGAGAAACACTTCTCTTGATGTGTGATGGCATGCAGCGATCTCAAATCCCAACCCAATTAGCGGTGAGATATAACCCAAGCAATGTAGTTATCAATTTGTCAGTTCACCTAATTGCAACATTAAAAACAGTTCACTGAGCAGTAAAAAAAATCAGCAGGGGCAGCCTTCACATTTTTGCAGTATATAAAAATATGTAAGATTTACATCAAAGACATTTAAGCTTATAAACACTCCCGTGACTGATGAGGTTCATTATGTGCAAAACCACACTGGTTTAATGCACCTAGCTATGAAAGTCAGCATAATTCTGAATTTCTTGTCTTGTATCAATGTGTATTAGAGCTATAACAATACAAGAAATACTTCACCTCTTGTTTCTTTATTTTCTAAAGTAAATAAAACCATAAAAGATGTATCATTTCGCAAATGAGCCAGGATACCATTTATATTTATATTCAAATGGAGGATATGCAAATCCCGTACTTTCTTTTAACAATTCAGAATTTTAGAAAGTTTAAAAAAAGCACGACAATTTGAATGGTGCAGAAACTCCTGTTTAGAAAAGCAGTTTTTTGATGGGGTTTTGTCTTGTGGAGAGACATGTAAAATGGTAAAAATGCTTAATTCCTCACCATCATCAGCTAGGAATTAGTATACCTTAAAATTGAACAAAAAGGAAAAATGTTTTCAAAGATTTCACATTACTGAAACATTAAGGCAATTTCTCCACTATGCAATTTGCTTTATCCTGACAGGATGTGTATCTTCCTGATGTACAGTGATTTACTCTAAATCATTTAATGGCTTAAATTACATAAATTTAAAAACTATTCTGCACATACACCAAGGAATAGTCTGCTTTCGTAAACATGCTTAAAAATATTTTAGATTAGAATAGTAATTTGTAATTTTTATTTGACTTAGAAAAGCATTCTAATATCACTATTACAGTGAAGAATATTTACCAGTACCATTTTATTCTGTCTCCTTAAATAGTATGTACAAAGTCACTTACTGTCAAATAAGTGAAGAAAACTTGAGCGTTCAGACTGTCTTAACCTCACCTGAAAAAGGCTGGCTGGCACTTGTTTCTTGGCTAAATGTGTTTGTACATGATCTACAGCTTGCTTTGAGAAAGGCTTTTGAAAAAGAAAAAGAAAGATTTCAAACAGTTGGAAACGTAAGAAGTTTCATTTCAGGTCTACAGCACTGTTGTTCTTGAACCATATAAAAAATACACATACTTCAGAATGAACGCAATATAGCTTCTTCCAAGTATATTATCGTGAAACACACAGAATGATCCAGTAAAACAATTATTCTAAAGCTGGAAGGCAGGAAAGGGGAAGATGAGGAGGAGGAAGGTGAAGATAAATGGGCTAGATGATGCTCCTTTAACCAATTCATGACGAATCCCATACACAGGGACAGCTCCAGATACAGCAGTTGACATGGACTTTTTACCACTGCAGAGCCAATAACGCACGCTTAACAAAAAAATGGCTTAAACCCTTCATCCAAAGAACCATACCGCTAGGGTAAAACATACTGCAAATTTTTCTTTAAAATAAGAGCAAATGAAACCGTTAAATACAGATCAACAGGCCAAAACTTCAGCTGGAGGAAACCTGTGTTTTCACTGACTTTAACAAAGCTGCATCTGTCACAACACAGCACCATGCCTTCCACTTACCGTACTGCAGCTAAAAAGTGTACTGTCTCTAGTATGGAAGTCTGCTTTATGACCAAACAAATAATAATAATAAAAAAAATCTTTGTGTGACAGTTTGAGACAAAATCTCAGACTTTACCCTGAGCTTTCAGGGATACCAAAGCTCAGCATCCAAACTGTCCCGCAGAGCCCCTGGCAGCTCACACTTCTTTGCGTTTTTGGGGGCAGGGTTGTTGCTGGGTTGGAGGGGGCTGGTCAATCTATCTATACGCGTGCATATATGTATACACAGCACTCATATTTTAAAGTAGAGATTTAGTTCAAAGAAATATAAAACAGATAAATCTCCACATATTTCCTTCGCATGCCACCAAGTTTAACAAAAATTGGCACACACCACCAATCTTTACACCTCATTACTGAAATAAAAAAAAAAAAAAAAAAAAAAAGCACACTGAATTCAGCCAAACCCAGTCCCACGGACTTCAAACGGAAATCCACAGCACCACAAGTATCTGTAGTAACAATTCCTTCAGCAATAGTCTTAATTGTTCTCTGAATGAAATAGCAGTTATTTTGAACTATCACTGCTGCTAAGCTACTCAAGTAAGGCAGAGAGCAGTGTGAAATCTGGGTGGTACACACATGCGAACAGGACAGCAGCTCCTTCATTATGTACATGTCGTAAATCTGCCGACTTCGGGTCAGACGCTCATCCTCAGAATCCAGTTTCTCGTATTCTTTTATCTGCAATACAGGAGAGAAGGATCCATTAGATGAGCACATTTCTAATGATTTTTCCCTCACTTGGTAAAAACAAGACTTTGGCTGAAGTTTTATTTTACTTTATTATTTTCTTAAGACTTAAAGAAAAACCACCTGCAGTACCATAGTTACAGCTGACTTTACATTTCCCGCCTATCTTAGAATTTTTATGCAAGGAAACTGATTTGCTTAAAATTGCTACAGAGCTTTGTATTCTGAAATGTGAAGAGGACTGAGCTGAAGCAGCGTGTTTTCCATCTACCACTTGCCAGGATCTGCGCAGGGCAGTCAGAAGCTAGCTGCGGGAGGACTGGACCCTGCGAGGAGAGCGAGACGAGCAAACACGCACAGCAACGCTTCCGAAGGTCTTCTTCCCCCCGCTCAGCTGGCGGGGGGAGAGCACTGACCTCGCTTCCTTCTCAGATTATTTCACTCGATGCTCTGGACTACCCACAGCACACCAAAACGTGCCTTTTCCAAGCTGCCGGGGCTAGCAGAAGAGCTGTTGTATTCGTACAGGGAGCACAACCACCGGCAGCGCCAGCCCGCGGCTGCCAGCGCAGCGCCCGAGCACCCTGCCCAGGGGCCATCACAGCACGCTAAGTACAGACGTCCAAGAGCGAACATAAAGTACATTTCAAAAAGTTCACGTAGTTCAGCTACGTGTTGAATTGGAACCCTAAAGGTGGCTAGAAAGACCGTTTCACAAAACGTATCAAGTTTCTTCAGGTGTGGTATAGGAGGTCAGCGTGTTCCAGGTGAAGCAACAGCCATCCCGTGTGGTTAATTTACAGAACAAAACCAGAAAATCACTTCCAGAAAAAAAACCTCACCAAGTCCAAGGGTCCTTTAGAGCGTATTTAGGGAAACAGTTCTTCCTGCAGGACTGACAGAATGTAAAAAAACATACAAGATCTCTCAGGAAAAGTCTTAGCTCTGACTTGCTGGACCTCCCCAGCATCAGCCCATGAGGTCCCAGGCCCACAGGAACGTACAGTGGGCAGACTTGCTCTGGATCCCTGCACCGACTCAGGAACACCAAAGCAGAGTAAGACTCGGCTGGATTTCATTCAGCGCCTGTTAGAGAAGGAACAGGCCGTATCAGAGCTGTCTGTACTTTCAGCCTACAGAATAAACCCTGCGCAAACGATGTCCCAGAGCATCTCCTCCGGAGGCAGGAGGACCATACCCGCTGGGCCTCCAGGAACAAACAGCGCGGCTCCTGCCAGCCAAGAGCAGCACCAGGGCTAACAGAAAGCACGTTGCTGAGGACTTTTAAAAGCAAAGATTTTAACAACATGTGTTTTGACAATATTTCACAAGACTTTTTTTTTTTTTTCTTTCTTTCACTCAGAGGCTGCTCCTTTTACAGGATGAGCTGCACCTGACAGCTCTTGAACAGGTCTCCACGTGACAAACCCAGACCAACCTATCTCTGAAGGGGCAACACCATAATTAAACTCGTATTTTTCTAGCTGTAGTCCTCTTGTTTGCTGACTATGATAAGGCAACAAGTTCCACCACCATTTGCCATCTGTGACTACTTCCCCCTTGGTACCAATCTATAATTAAAATGATTCAAAACATCTTTGCCAAAGAAACATTTTTTAATTAACGCAATGCTGCAACATAATTGGAAGTGCAGGAGAAAGCCTGATGCATATCATACTGTCGCACTTGAATGCAACCTCCTGCCCTTCGGTATCTCTTTTTTTACACCACCTAACTCCGCACCCGAAGCGGAGGGGTCTCTTGCAGCAGCCCCCCACAGCCACCCTGGCACCAGGTCGGTGTCACTGCCACCCTTTCAGCGGGCTTTTTAACCACGCAAAGTGCCTTTGTCCTGTAAAGGTTTGAAGAAAATAGCAGCAGGTGACAGAAGTCCCCCCGATACGCTCCCGGGCCGCCCAGCCTGCTCCCCCCAGGCCGGCAGAACGCCCTCCCCACGCGCCGCCCGGCCCCGCTCATCGCACCGGTGACGCGATGAGATGCCTCCGCTCCGACCGCATTTAACAGGCGTGCCTGACCTAACAGCAGCTAACTTTACACGTTTATTAAACAGAACATTACCGTACCTTGCCAAAAAAACACAGCGAGCAGCAGCGTCACCACCTATAAACGTGACCTGTCTCTGCCGGCAGCAGCTTCCTCAGCACCGCTCCTGACCCAGCCGCAACGCACCGCGACATCGCCTATCGCCTCGCTTCCCTGGCACACTTCAGCTCACCTCAATAAAAGTGTCTGACAAAGTCTCTTTTCAAAAACCGAAATCAGAATGCATTAGTTTTAAAGCACCTAGAAGTTCTTTTTCTTTTTTTTCTTTTTCTTTTTTTTCTTTTTTTCCCTTTTTTTTTTTTTTTTTGAAACCGATCTGGATGAATCACTCATCCAGTTAAATGCTTGATCGTGACTTAAGCTGCAGAAATATGAAATCCCTGGAGTACGGAGCCCTTCTACATCAAGCCATTTTTAATGTAGCAATGTACTCAAATTATTCTACATAAATGCAGTAAGTAAACCAAATATATATAAAAAAGAAAAGCTTCTGAATCTGGTATGTCACAGAAGAAAATGCAACGAACCTCTCTTTAAATATCTTTAATGGGATTTTTCGAAAAGTACATGACAAAGCATTTAAATTCTTTTTAGGCGACACTTTGCTAATAACCTAAAAATACAACTTCAAATTGTTTCAGAGATAAAGAGGCAGCTAAAAATATCTTGCTAAACAATCTGTTACAACATGCCTTTTTGATTACCTATGACAGCGATATCTTCAGTATATAAAAAGATGAAAACGATAGAAAGATTCTTCTTTATTGACAGCGAGTATCTAATTTGAGTGGGGGAACTGTATATTGCTAAGGATTTATCTCCAAACTGATAACCAGCTTAGCCTATTTTGTGCTGTTAGCCCACTAGCAAGAAAAATTTTAAACCACCAGCATAAAGAGTAATCCAGACAGAAGGTTACCTCAGGCAGCATTTCTAATTAATACTGAGCAATACAGGCTGCCTTTTAAAAGCACGTGTGCATGTTTTAACCAAAACCAGCACCTATGATAGGATTAACTACAGTTTTATATTTAGAGTGTCACAAATATAACAAGGAGTGAATGGAGCGATAAGACTCATCGCGTTTCCCGAGCGGTCCTTGCCGAAGCGCTGACGGAGCCCTCTCGGCAAGGGGGGCTGCCGAAGGACACGACGCGCTCCACCCACACTCGTCTCAAATATTAATCCTTCTGGACGCGTGCCTGCCTTGGGCACGACGTCTGTTAGTTCCTTCGTGGATTATCTCGTGACGACGGAGCACGACTGACTTACCGACCTAGAGCCACCTCTCGTATCCCTCTCCGGAGGACCCCCTACCCCCTGCAGCGTTTGACAGGGCTTTCCTGCAGCCCAAGAAATCTCAGCAGCTAGCACAGCCTCAGCTGTCCTTACGTCCCTCGCGCAACGCCGTGGACAGCTGTACCCTGTCGTCTTTTCTACCGGTAAAAGGGTGTTAGAGAAAGGCACGAAGCATTTGAGAGTGCGGTCCAAACACCGGTAGCTTCAGTTGCACCCCCTTTTCCGCAAGCCCAGGCAGCTGCTCAAAATCAGCTACAGACAAGAGGGCATCGTTCTCTGCCTGGGTGCGTGCCACAAAGAGGTGCCCGGGACGGACGGCGCAGGGTTTGGCACCTCACCGAAGCGCGGAGGGCATGGGGAAAGCCTCAGGGAGGCAGAGGACCAGACACGCCGATTCCGCCGGCGGAGGACGCGGAGCCGAGCCAGGAGCTGGCTGTGATGCCAGGGACATCCGTGCCAGGGACAAACAAGCAAAGTGCAGGGGGAGCCACGCTCCGTTTTCCGCTTTTGCTCTTTGGGACAGTGTAAGACAAGTTTGCTTATTTTAGGCTTTCTGCCTTTAACGAAAATCTTCGCTATGTGCAATAGATATGAATCCATGTCCCACGTCAGCTATAATAATAAAAAGCACTGGTTTTGCTTTCAGGTCTTTTTGAAAGAAGGAATCCACTGTTGTAATTCCACTGAGAGCTGGCAAATGTTACTTACTTTAACTTCATCTTTGTTTTGTAGCACAACTAAGATTTATCACCTTCACAAGTGAAGAACAAAAGCTTATCCTATTTCTCAAGAACATTCCTGGCTTAACTTAAGGTATCAGAGATATTTAACAAGTAGAGACTGAAATGAACCTCATTTCAACTCATTTCTTAGGAATATTTGAAATGAACCACAGTCAAAGAGCATACCTTATGATAAAAAACATTAATAAACCTAAAGATATTTTAGCCTTTCTTAGCATTCTTCCCCTTTCCATCGTTCTCTCAGCACTTTCCAAGTTATCTTTTGACACATTAGTGCTGTGAATGAACATTTGGTTACGTGGCTGCTCAGGTACCTTTCTTCCATTGTTTTGTTTTCAACATATTGTGCCTTAAAACGAAACATACTTAACTCTTGAAGGACAAAAACTGTAACAGTAGCTTTTAAAAGGCTTTGTTAGCTTGTGTTTGATAAAAAGACACCATTTTAGCATATGCAAATAAAAGCACTGTTAGAAGTTGAGCTAAGTAGATTTTTCCTACAAATACTCCATTTTCTAAATCTTAAGTATTTGCCCAGGAAGAGGGCAAAAAAAATCATCTACGCTACTCTCATAACATACGCTGTACGAATACTGTACCGAATTACCAACTTGATTAAATAGTTACACTGCTATTTTTAAAAGTCTCCTGAACATGTTTAAAATGATAGTTTTGTCCCTTTGAGATGCAAACGTTACTACATAAAATATTGCGTCTTACGCATCGACCACTCCGGTACGAAGCTGAAATGACTCACAACAACGCGCACCCTTGCACGCCTCTCCCCCCCCAGCACCCCCGCCCGAGGACAGCCTTCCTCAGCCTCGCCCCCCCAGCCCCGAAACCCCATCACCGCCGCTTACCTCTTCATAAAACTTCAGTTGAGGGACAGCTTCGTCAATCTCATTCATGCAATAGTCTTTGAAAAGCAAAAATCCTGGAAAGAAAAAAGTGGGGGAAAAAAAAGTTTCAGAAAAAATGTATCACCACTATGATAACTTGTAAAAAGGGACCCAAAAACACCCAGGTAACATCACGGATTGTATATACCTGGGTAAGTATCCCAAATTGCCAAGGCTTAGCCATACTGATAATCAAGCGGCTCTAGAGCATTCTGAACAGAAAAGGATCATAAACCTCACTCACCTCCCATAGGTATATTAAGCATATTCCAATTTCTACCTGCTGAGAATTTTATGAGATGTTTACATAATGCACCAAAATACCCCATTCCTCTTCACGGATCAGATTTTGTTTCTTTTTTCAGAGTAAAAACTAGATACTATTCACGTGTTTTGTTTTTTTGAAAGAGATTTACCTACTTTTTATTGACAAACCTCTTCTGCATTCCAATTTTAGAATTCCTGGTTAATGTTACCTCTAATAGGTTTTATAGCACAATAAACTACATCAGGATCTTTATGGTTCCTTTGCAAGTAATTTAAAGCATGACCGCTGCAGCCTGCTGACGAGTATTTTCCATTATAAGCATTTTAACGCACCGTTACACGCTTCATCTCATGGAAGTACCGTCTTTACATTCGCCTGAGCTGGTACCTGCTACCCTGTTACTTTACATGGGTATCTGTTGTCACAGCTAATTGTCCGGGTTATCTGCAAGCCCCTTAGAGCTGTAAACGAACGAGCTTTCAGTTCATTGCAGCAGGCAATACCTTCCCTTATTTAGAATTACTGCGTACTTACTGAAATCACACCCAACTTTTGGAGGTAAGACCACAAAAGTGCATACTAAAATAACAACGCGAGCCAGAGAAGGCAGAGCAGCCAACTGGAGGGCTGGCGCTGGCTGGGAACCGCTCCATCCCGCTCCCCTGCTCGACTGCTCTCCCAACAGGGCAGCACAGCAAGATATAAACCACCCCTTTTCAACTTAAAAAAAAAAAAAAAAAAAATATATATACACACAAGACACCTTTTTTTTTTTTTGTTAATTAAAATGTAATTGTAATTTGAAGTTACAGCAAAGTTATATCACCAAAAAAAGTAGCACATCACCGTATGCTCCACTAAGAAATAATACAACCACCTACGACATCTCATATTTTCCAGAGTATACTATCTTTAAAAAAATGCAAAACCCACTTCATGTGCTACATAGCAATTTCATTGTAGAGTGTACAGGAGAGCGTTTAACTGTCAGTTATGAACATCGTGTTCTTTCAACTCACTATCATCTAATTTTATCAAAGACCTAAATAAGAAAAGAAACCACCATCTACTCAGAAGCAAAACCATTAGTCTCAGCGGACAAAGCAACGCTAATCAGGCAAACAAAAGCTTTAATTTTTGTATAATGTAAACATTTATCAGCTTCTTGGTAGCCCCTCTAGCTATATCTGGATCCCAAGTTAAATTTCCTACTGGAAGAGCTTGTTTTCTGGGGTCCCCTGGATTTATTTGGCCACAGTCAGAATACCAGAAAAGGGATTATGACCAGACTACTCCTATACTTCGCTTGACTCATTTAGCTGATTAGGATGATATTTCGAAGATTATACAAACTGGGTTTTGTTCTCTAAATAAGGACAGAAATCTAATTAAGAGATTCTCTTATGAGATTCTCCAAACTTTCTAATTATTCTCAACAAAAAGAATCATTCTTGAAATATTTCATAAACAAACGTGCTTTTCTGAAAACAAACAAACCAACCCACCCCAAGTTTTCTATTCCTTAAAAGCAATTTGCAATTAGGGTGCTTTTTTTCCTTTCTCCCTTTTTTTTTTTTCCCCAGAGCTCGTCTTAGTTCCTATTTTACTGGAAATATTCCCAGCACGTTGTCTTCCCTCATTGCAGCGGGGGCAGGAGAGAAGCAGGGAGCAGCCCCAGCAGCCCCCCCGCCTGACGCCAAGCCCCCACCAGGCACCCCAGGGCCACCCGCGGAGCGGGGTGACCTGCCGCGGGGGGACACGAGCGCTCTCCCCAGCAAGCCACAAACCGTCCCCGCCACCGCCAAAGCCACCCGCCCGTCACCTGCGGGGACGGACACCCCGCGGAGAGCGGACCTCTTCTTGCCTTCCCCCGCCCGCCCGGTTAACGGGGCACGAAGCCGGTTCTGAGAGCAAAACCTGCCGCTTACGGACCTGAGCCCAATTCAGTGTTTTACGCCCGATCCAGACAGCAGCAGCGCCCAGCAAAACAATGCTGAATTGACTGAACTTTTATTTGGACAACGAACCAAAGAAGATTACAGTCGTGTAATTAAGAGACTAAAGAGTGGCACCAACAGCGATGAATGCAGTGAAAGAAAAATCCCTGGCGTGGTCCCAGCTCCTGGCTGTTTACCAAAAAAACCCACAAACAAAAAAAAAAACACAACCCCAAAACACAACAAACCACCAAAAACCACAAAGACAACTGTGGGCGGAGTGTGAAAATATACCAACACAAATTTGCAACAATGCCATGCCAAACATTTTAGCCCTGTTTAATATTTTCCAAACTTTTTAACTTAATTACGCAGAGAAAGAAAAGGCTCGCAAGACCAGAGCACAGGGAACAATAGCGGGCTTATGCTGCCTGCGTTATACAGCCCGCTTCTCACCAAGGCCCTCTTTTAAACTGCATTGCTATGCGAAAAACTAGAGACATCCAAACCAAGAAGTTAGAAACTTTTATAGATGATTAATATAGTCATAGTAAGTTACAGCCATATGAATCAATACGGAGAAAATGCTGTTACTCAGGTTCCAGTGAAGATGAGCAGAATCGTTAAAGCAGCATTTTAAAGTGTCTGATTAAAAAAAAAAAAGATTAGAAAATACTGCAGTACAATAAATTATAGCACGAAACATCTCCACGAAGTTACCAACGTTGTAATTATTCACCAGCAGGGCACCCAAGACATCTGCAAGCCCTTTGCGGACACAACCGTACGGTGGTGGCCCCAGCTCCGCAGCACCCTGAAGAGCAGCAGGGCGGTGGGGAGAGGGTGGGAGTGGGGGGCCCCGGCGGGTGGGCACCGCGCTCGGGGGCTGGTCCCGCTCCCAGGGCACAGCCGTGTGTGTTAGAATCATAGAATCATAGAATCGTTAAGGTTGGAAAAGACCTCTAAGATCATCGAGTCCAACCGTCAACCCAACACCCCCATGCCCACTAAACCATGTCCCTAAGTGCCACATCTACACGTCTTTTAAATACCCCCAGGGATGGGGACTCCACCACTTCCCTGGGCAGCCTGTTCCAAGGCCTGACCACTCTTTCAGTGAAGAAGTTTTTCCTAATGTCCAGTCTAAACCTCCCCTGGCGCAACTTGAGGCCGTTTTCTCTCGTCCTATCGCTGGTTACTTGGGAGAAGAGACCGACCCCCACCTCGCTACAACCTCCGTTCAGGTGGCTGTAGAGCGCGATGAGGTGTTACAGCAGGAGGTCACACGGAAATTCGCCCATAGCCGGAAAAATGGTTAAGATTTTTTTTTTTTGTCGTAATTTTTACAAGTTGCAAGAGGGGAAAAAAAACACCTGAAAAGGTCAGTGGCATCCAAGAAGAATATTATTCTAACACTTGGGGAGTGTTTTAACACACAAATTAGAGCATCAGCTTTCATCAACTATTCACCATTGTCTTTTCAGGAAAAAAAAAAAAAACAAAAAAAACCCAAACCATTCCCTGTTAAGAAATGCTGTTTGATCCCAGTTAAGTTGAAATAAAAACAGGTATTTCAAGTTTCCTTTGAAGAACCTATGGACTGGGAGCATTTATGTACATGTATTAAGATATACTGTATACATACATGATACATGCAGCTTACATAGTCATCAAAAAAACGGGATTTCACACGGACCAGCTTCCCTTGACAGAAAGGTTTCTAGTATTATTTTTCAAAAGATAAGCTCTAACAAACCATAAAAAGGATTAGGTACCATAAGCTTTGCAAGCAACAGTTTAGAAATCTAGACACATGCGCTGCTCTGCAAATAAGTACCAGGTTATTTCATCCTACAAGTCTTCCATGTGACTGTTAGTACAGCTCCATACCTTACAAGCAGAACCCGTGTATTTTGAATACCTCCAAGAATACATTTCTAACGGCTAAGTGACAGTGCCTGCACCGGTCACTGAAATACCGTCTGGTGCCTTCAGCACTGGAAAAATACTTTAGAACTGGAACTGGATCGCCAGCTGCAGAATTCACTACTGCTTCTGCAGTGGCAATGGACAAGGCAGTCGCTGGTCCCGCGGCCTCCGGCGAAGGGGTCCAGGTGCCGCGGCAGCCCTCTCCCTGCGCTGGGGAAACGGACCTCCTCCCGGCGACGATATTCTACGTGTGACTGGCGACAGTCAGATTCTTCCACAGGTTTTTAAGTACATCCTAACGCTTGGCTTGCATTAGGCAACCCTGAGTGCCGCTCTTAAAATTATTAGCCACGCAGACATCAGAGAAAGCTTGCGGGTGTCCAGCAAGCACAACCTTTTCTTTCAGCAGGTTGTAGCTGGGGAAGGATAAGCCGAGCGATGGAGTTCTTTTTAATTAATTGGGAATCTCACGATTAATGAGATTTTTTTCACTTGCCTCATGAAAATTTTTTTTTTCTCTGTCAAAACGAGAGTGATGCCAGACAGCCAAATGCAGGCAGCAGGACGCGGCCCTCCTCGCCCTGCCCGGCCGGAGAGCTGCTCTGCCGCCCGCGTCCCGCGGCCGCGCTGGGAAGCGTCGGGAGGAGGTGAACCG